TGCAGCGAGAAACTCTAAGTAACCTGGGTAGCAAGTGTGGGGTGTATGGTGGGGAAAGAAGAAGTAATATGGAAAACTGTAGGCAAGACCTTGTGAATGAACCCTGCTGAGAAGTTTTTCATTCGTTTCTTTTTGTATGTTTTCTCTACTGGCTTTTCTTATCTGCCCAAGTCCCTCTAACATTGGGTGCCCCTCAGGGTCAGTCTAGTTACAGATACCTGGTTTATAGCCCTAGCGTAGTTTCTGACTACCTGAGTGCCCTTGTGCAAGTTATTTTCTCTTTCTGGGGCTCAGGTTCCTCATTTGCCAATAAGGGGTTGGCTTTCTGGTCTAATACTGGAAGAACAGTGGGGGAGCTCTGACTTTACTACAACAGGATTGTCTCCCGCTCAGTGACCAACTGTTCTATGTCCTCAGGCAAGATACTGAACACTTAGACTCTCAGTTTTATCCTGTGTAAAAGCACACATATTTTATCATGTGTAAAACACCCTGCTTGCAGGGGCAATTCGGGGTGAAGAAAAAGGTGACAGGTCTTACACAGCACCTGGCCTTAGGGGACACTGTAAATGGCAGCAGTTGTGATAGAGTTGAGATGATCTCTAGCCCCTTTCTAGCTTGGTTGTTCCAGAGTTCCAAGATTAGCCTCTGCAGAGGCCATCCACTCTGAGCCCTGAGATTTCACCTTCCTTCGGGCCCAGATCTCTAATTCTCTGTAAGACATCATTGCTTGGATAGGCAGCCACCAGCTGAAATGAAACACATCAAAATCCAAGCACCTGCCTCCCCGCCTCCCCCTTGCCAACAAGTCTGCCTTCCCCTCTTCACTGACCCTCAAGGATACTAAATTTCTCTTGGTCATAGATCAGGGGTCCCCAACCCCTGGCCACAGACTGGTACTGGTCTGTAACCTCTTAGGAACCAGGCCGCACAGCAGGAGGTGAGCAGCCTGCTAGCCAGCAAAGATTCATCTGTATTTGCAGCCACTCCCCAGTGCAGCATCACTGCCTCAGCTCCACCTCATATCATCAGGCATTAGATTCTCACAGGAGCTCGCCTAGTCCTTGGTGCCGAAAAGGTTGGGGACCGCTGTCCTAGAGGATCCCAACAAGGAAGGTGTTCTTGTCCCCTCCCATGGCCCCAGCTTATCCCATCCATATCCAGTCAGTTTTCAGGTCCCACTGCAATTGCATAGGCAGGGCCTGCTTCTGGGTACCTATCCCCCTTTCCTTCTTCCTAGGTCTGGCAGCCTCAGCTACTGCGATTGCCTCTTGGCTACCTGTTTTTCCCCAACTTTGAGTAAAACACTACCCTGAACAATCTTTAAACATAACTTTGCATTGTGTTTTGCCTATGCTTAACAGTCTACTTGTCTGTTTCATGATAATCCTGTGAGTATCATTTACAGAGGAGAAAACCAAGGACTCAGAGAAGTTTAAGAATATGTCCAAAGTCACACAAATCTTAAATAACAGAGCAGGGATTTTCATCATTAAAAATGATGTTTGAACAATGCTATATTATTATTAAAATGGATGTCACATGAAAAGAATGTACAAACATGTTGACAGGCATAGTGTTATATTAAATCAAAAATAAACCTATAATCACAAGAAAAACAAATCCCAAAAAAGGAACATTTCACAAAATACCCATATACTACTCAAAACTATCAGGATCATCAAAAACAAAGAAATTATGAGAAGCTATCACAATTAAGAGGAGCCTAAGGAAATGTGACAACTAAATGTAACATGATATCCTAGATAAGATACTGGAAGAGTAAAAGGACATTTGGTAAAAACTAAAGAAATCTGAATAAAGTATAGAGTTTAATTAATTATCATGAATCAATATTTGTTCATTAAGGTAACAAACATACCATATTAATGTTAAGATAAGACAGGGAACCATGTGTGGGGAATATAAATTGTCTGTATCACCCCAATTTTTCTATAAACCTAAAACTGTTCTAAAAAAATAAAGCTTATTAAAAAAACAAAACAACTATGACCACCTCCAGAACATCAGAGGCCATAAATATAAGGAACAAGAGGAGGGTTGTGGGAAGCATCACAATGTTTACTTGCAGTGTTTTCGAATGAGCATGTTATAATATGTTGTATTGAAGGGATTGCTGACATAAAAGCCAGAAAATCTGGATTACCATTTTAGCTCTCCTAACTGAACTCTTAGAAAAGTTTGTTTATTTACTTTTCTCAGGAAGTTGAATGAATGAATGATCCTGTAAGTCATTTCTAACCCTATAATTCCATGATTCTATGAATTAAAGTCCCTGTTCTGAAGATTACTTCACCAAATCCAGTGTTTGCCTAGTATAATATTGCCATGATTAGTGACTTCATGCTCTTGAAGGGGCAATATGCATGTAAATAAGTTTTTTGGAAACTTGAAAACAAATCTGTAAATAGAGGTGGATTATGAATATGGTATGGCTAAAGACAGAGGTGGTGGATGGTGGGAAGAAAACTGAGTTTTTACTATCTACCTTTGTTTTTACCTCTTGAATTTTGAACTATTTGCATGTTTTGTCTATTAAAATTAAATACAGTTGACCGTTGAACAATGAAGAGGTTCAGGGCACTGGTCCTGCTCAGTCGAAAATTGCTTATAACTTTTGACTCCCCCCAAATTAAAGTTATCCTTTGGTATTCATGGAGGATTGGTTTCAGGACCCCCTGCCGATACCCAAATCCACAGATGCTCAAGTTCCTTATATGAAATGATAATATAACAATGCATACAGATTGAAAACAATACAAATTTATTGAAAAAAATCAGTGTATAAGTGGACCACACAGGTCAAACCCTTGTTCAAGGGTCAGCTGTATTTACTTATTAATTTTAAAAGTCTATACCTAGAAAAAAAAGATTAGATGGAAAAACACCAAAATATTAACAACAGTAATTCTGTTTGGGTGATGGGAGCTCAAAAATAATTTACTTTTTCTTTCTACTTTTCTGTTTTCCAGCTTTTCTTTAATTCTCATGAATTGCTTATAGAATTTAAGAAAAACATGAAAACAAATTTACTATCACCAGGAAATATTTCTTGAAAAACCACATGTGACTTTATACTGCCTCCCTTCGGCATTTACTAACATAACTTGTAGCATATTTTGTGCTTATTGATATATTGTTTGCTGAAATTATTTAATTTGTGAGCATGGCATTCTCACCTAGACTGTAACTGAAAGCATGGAGGGTGTGGAGAAACATTGTTTACAGTCCTTCTGGTTCCCAATTCAGGATCATGCATACAGCCTGGTGAACTGAATAGTCTTTGGTTCCTGACCTGGATCTACCACTAAGGGTGGAACTTGGAATAAGCTACTTCTTTTTGAGCCTCATTTTTCTCATCTGTTCACGAAGGGTGCCATTCACTTTTGATGTGCTAAGGTATTTTCAATAAATGTTTATTGACCCATATTGACCCATAGACATGATAGGAAAAGGATGAAGAGCTTGTAAAGTGACACGTATGTCTTGTGCCATAGTTTTGTGCCTTCACCTACCTGCTATAGGCCTACCTAAAGTTCTTAGAAAGCAAGGGACCTGTGTCTCATGCTGCTTTGTATATCTATACTATCTAGAGAAATAGCTACAAAATCTTCTATATCTGCAACCTCTTCTCTGAATGTCCCCTTTACCTTCTCCCACCCATTAAAATGAACCTTGCTTTACCTGGAGTGGTAGATGTTTTTCCTTTCACATACTCTGGAGCAAGAGTTCGATATTTTCCTTTCTGTTACTGCTTCCAGCACATTTATCCATCTTCCTCCGTCAAAAACCCAAGCTTCTCTGAAATACATGCCATCAGACCACACCACTTGCTATTTCACCTTGTTGTGATCATTTATAGACCTCCTGGTCGCTCTTTGAAGATTCATTGAAGATTTTAGTATTCTGGTTCATAATCTTTTTCTTTAATCATAACTTTTATCATCATTCTTGGTGACTTTAGTCACTGTGTGGATTACCTATTTAATTCTTTGATCTTGATCTTTTTACTTAGAAAATTATTTTCCTCCACTAACTCTGCTACCAAAATCTGTTTTAAACATTCTACTTTCTGGATGCCAACTCCTACGTTTTCAGCTTACTTACTCTAGAGAGCCTCCACTGGGATATTCAATCCATCAACCCTGCCACTTTTTCACTATCTATCACACCCCTTATGTCTTTCCCTCCTTATTCAATTTATTTTCCATGGCCTATCCCTACCATGGCCTGTCACTACCATAGTCACTACTATGCATACACTCTCAACAGCTTTGCTCTCCTTTCCCTTTCATGTATTTTCCAGTTAAACCCTAACCCAAGTTAAATCCAGTTCGTCTATTCCACAGCTGTACCTAAGCATTGGAATTTAACTGAAGGAAACCACCACCTGTACTGACTAGCCTTGCTTCACATGTATGGCCCACAAACCATGAGTGAGCACTCCATACTGCCCAGCAATCCTACTACAGTTCCCTGGTCAATTTGCTTGCCCACTTTCTGAGATGACTATTTCTAATCTTCTCCTCTCACCTCACTCTCAACTGATAACTTTACTTCTTATTTCTCTGAAGAAAAAAAAAACAGAGGAGCCATTAGCAAAGAACAAGCACATTTTCTCACCACTAAATCTACCAATGGTGTTTTCATTTGGACCTGTAGACTCTGATTTCCCTCCTATTACAATAATAACAACATATATAGATCTTACTATATGTCCAGCAGTGTTCCGAGTTCTTAACATGCATTTAATGAGTTAGGTATTATTATTATTATCCCTCATTTTACTGATGGGGAAATGAGACACGGAAGTTTCTTTTGAAGTACATTGTTCAAGGTTACAAATGAATTAGTCTGGCTTTAGAGTTCATTCTCTCAACCACTTCCTTGTACTAAATGAACTGTTCTATCTGAGGTCAATGCCTCCACCTGTAAACTGGAACCCTTCTCTTCCTGGTCACTTAGGAACTTCTTCAATTATACCTTCTTTCTTCAGCAACATCATTGCCCCCCGCCCTACTGGATTATTTCCATCAGTTTACAAATGCTTTAAACTCTCTTAACTTAAAAAGTCATTTCTAGGCTGCCCATTCTGTTATGATTACTGCTCCATTTCTCTGCTTCCTTATTTACCAACACTCGTTGGAAGAATTGCTTTTATTTGCTGTCTCCACTTTCTCCCTTCTCTTTCTCTCTCCAATTTGTTATGGGCAAAATTTCAACCCTAGCATGTAATTAAAGCTGCTCTTAAAAATTCAACATCCTTGCAAAATCCAATGGCCAATTCTCAGTCTGCATCCTACATAATTTATCAGCAGCATTTGACACATTCGATAATTTCCTCCTTGACTCTTTCCTTTATATTCTCTTCTGATTTTCTCCTTTCTCACCAGCCACTCATTCCGTATCCTTTTCTTGCTCCTCTTTTCTTCCCAATTTCTAAACACTGGCAGGCCAATGTGCTGGACTTTCTTTTCTACTCTGGACATATCTGTCCCCAAGCTGACTTCATCTAGCTTTTTGGCTTTACCTGAAGTACTGATTCATACTATATCACAGAAGAACCTTGGAAATATTATGCTAATTGAAACCTATATAATTTTATTAACCAATGTCATCCCACTACATTTAATTAAAAAAATAAATTATGCTAAGTGAAAAAAAAGACCACATATTGTACTATTTTTCATTTAAACACAATGTCTAGAGTAGGCAGATTTATAGACAGAATGGTGATTAGTAGTTGATTAGGGCTTGGATGGAGTAGGAGAGAGGTAAGGAGGGGATTGAGGATTGATTGCTAATGTGATTTTTTTAGGGGGGACAAAAATGTTCTAAAATTAGATAATGGTGATGGTTGCACAATGCTCTCAATATGCTAAAAACCATGAATTGTACACTTTAAGTGGGTAAATCATGTGTTATCAATAAAGCTGCTTTAAAAAAAGAAATTATTTGAAATACTTAATTTCTAAAGGCATCAGGTCCATATAGACACATCAATGTCTATCAAACTCAGTAATCTTCCAGGAAAGAAATAATGCAGATATAAATTACCCTAGAGCTTAAAAAATTAGAAAATGTTCTAATTTGTCTCAAATATTTAGCACAAACCTGATAAAAATATATCAAAATGTACTATGGCTATATAAGATATTATCATAGGGGGAAGCTAGGTAAAAGGTACACGGGAATTCTATTTTTGCAACTTCTTGTAAGTCTAAAAATATTTCGAAATAAGTATTTAATAAATCTATCAAAGTCTTTAGTTCAAGATGACAGACTATAAAATTTATCTTCTTCATATTTTTTTATCCCACAAATTTCGGATGTAATATTTCCATTATGGCTTAGTTCAATGTATTTAATTTCCATCATTGTTTATTCTTTGACCCAGAGTTATTTGGGAGATTTTTTTTTTTTTTAATTTACAGATGTATGTTTGTATTTATATTTTACATTGTGGTCAGAGAATATGGTATGTATTATATAAATATTGGAAATTTTGTATTAGTTGAGACCAACTTTTATAAAAAGTTCTAAATATGCTTAAGAAGAATGAGTATCTTTAAAGTTTGATTGCATGGTTCTATATATGTACATTAAATCAAACTCGTGGAGAGATGAGGTAGATTGGGAGCAGTAAAGTTGAGAGAAGTGTAAGGATTTCACATCGTAGTGTTGGAGTGGGGCGCAGAAACGAAGGATTGTAGCCAGAATTTCCGTGTGTCCTTTTTAATAGGCGAGGGGCTGTGTCTACATTTGTAAACTTTTGAGGATCTTTCCTGAGCCACCTACGGGTTTCGTCTCGATGAGGGTTCTTCTCTTAGCCTGGGCTGGTTTCTGGTTTAGGCAATTCGACAGACGGCGTAGCTGTGCAATTGAGTTAGGGTCTCCTAGGAGAGATTAGGAAATCTCAATTTTCCCCAAGAATGTTTCTTTACTTCTTATACGGTCTAGGAGGGAAGTGGGAATTTTGAGGCTTGGGGCTGAGACTCAGCAGCTCCCTGCTTTTCCCTAAGCGCTCTGTGTATATCTGGGTTACAATATTGACTACGGTGGACAGTATTCACATTACAGGTGTTGCACCCACTGGACAAGAAGCTCAGAGGGCTGGAGCTGAGTTTCCTCTCGGCAACTCAGGGACTTTGCTCAGAAACTGGCTCCGCCCCCTCCTGGCCTATCTCTCCCAGCCTCTCCCTCAGATATTTCCGGCCTGCCCTCTCCCCTCCATCCGCCTCGCCCCAAAGGCCCGGCTCCTTCCCTACCACTCTGCTGCCTTCTGTTTTAGCAGGGACTAGAGTGATTGACGGGCGTGTCCTCCAATCATAATGCCTAATGACCACATACCTACCAATTAGGCGGTAGCAGAGGCGGGTGCTGAATCCCAGCGTGGGGGTGACCAGGAAGTGGGGAAGACTGGGAAGAACGAGTCGAGCCCAGGAGGTGGTGTAGAGGTGACGGGGTATCTGGATTTTTCAGTTTCCTCCTTTCCCTGTTCTTGGGTCAGGGGTCCCTTTGTAGCTGGGATTTCCATTTGCCCTTTTTAATGTGTAAGGGGGTGTGTCTACATATGTAAGCATTTGAATATCTTTCCTGAGCCACCTTCCTGGTTTCGCCTCGAGGAGGGTCCTTCTCTTAGCTTGGGCGTCCTGTCCCCTGCACTCTTCCCCGGGGAGCGGTAAAGTTGTTTAAAATCCTTCCTTAACCTATGGGTGGTTAAAGTCGCGGACTCAGTCTCTGAAAGGGAGATGAGTGACGGGGATAGCGAGATTCGCGAATTCTGCCCTTCTCCCGAGGAGTTAGAGCCCTCCAGCTGCGGCCAAACGTAGAAGGTGGAGCGGCTCTGGGAGCTCAGTTCTTTTGGATAGGGAGCTGGGAATGAAATAGGTATAAGGGCGAAGGAACGGGTGGAAAGAAACATTTCTTATGTGGAGGTCATGGTAGTTCTCAGAGCCTACTGTGGGGAGGGAGACATTGCGGTGGGGCTTGGTCTCTAAATCTCCTTCCCACTACTGGGCCGTCAGCTTTTCCCCGTCATTTCTTTCTCCTCAGGCTGAAGGAAACACCTGACGATGTGGAATCCCAATGCCGGTAGGTGTTTGGGGTTCTCTTCTCCCACCCCAGCCCTTTTTCAAATGGGCCTCAACAATAGGAGTTTCTGTGTTTTTCCTACACCTCTCCCCTCACGCACAAAAGCCAAGTCCTTAGATCATAGCTGACCAGTGCTCTCCTCTTTCCTTGGGAGTTCACTGTCTCTCTCTCCCCAGCCTGAGAGGGACGTGATCTTTTCTCTCTCCTATGGGGGTTTGTCTTCGCTATCCTCCATTCTCCTTCCTTATCTTTCCATTTCCTTTTAAGTATTCAGCGAGAAACTGCATCACCTTTTTTGTTGTTATTTGTTGTTAGAATCTCTGATCAGTTCTAATCTTAATTTGTTCCTTGCTTCTTCCACCAGGGCAGCCAGGGCCAAATCCGTATCCCCCTAACATTGGATACCCTGGAGGTTCCAATCCTGTCCATCCGCCACCTGTCAATCCTGCCTGTCCACCAGGCCCCTTTCCCACTCCCCCAGGAGCTCCCCAGGGGAATCCAGCTTTCCCCCCAATTGGGCCTCCTCATCTGCCACAACCAGGGTATCCAGGATGCCAACCACCAGGTCCCTACCCTCCTCCATACCCACCACCTGCCCCTAGCATGCCTCCTGTGAATCCCTTGGCTCCTGGCATGGTAGCACCAGGAATGGTGATGGACAAGAAGATGCGGAAGAAAATGAAGAAAGCTCATAAAAAGATGCATAAACATCACAAGCATGGCAAGGTCAGTGACCTCTGGAGCCTGGCTAGAAAGGGGTGCCCCCTCAGAGACACTAGGCTGGAAGGTGGTGGGCAGGGGGGATTCGCAGTCTGAGGACATGGGGCAGCAATTGTGTTGCTCTGGTACATGATTTTTCCTTTTTGTAAAGGATTCCCACTGGGAAGAATCTGATAATCTTGAAAAGAAATATTAGGCTAATTGGGCCTTCTGTCTAGGAGGGGATAGCTAAGCCTTAGCATGGATATCAGAATCAAAAGCTATTCTTGTCCGCTTTTCTCTCCCTCATAATTTTTATCCTACTCTTTCACTACCAGATGTATGTTTTAGCAAGTTGGACATACCCACGGAGGTGGTCAAAATGTCCATTAATAGGGTCAGTCCTTTGACAAAACAAAGTCTTGTATAATAATTAAAAGATAATAATCTGGCCCTAGTTCCTGGAGTTCCTTTCTTTCAGGGTGGTGTCCCTACCGCCCAG